AGCAAAAGCTGAATCATGTCAGGCAATCCTGGAGAAACTGGTAACAAGTGTTAAGTAGCCATGTGGTTTCACTGCCATGAGAAGGGAGTGCCAGAACCAGGGCTTCTCTTCAACAATTTATCCAATTTTTATTTTTTAAATTTCTAGTTTAAAATTTTACTTATCTATTTTATTTATCTAAAAGGCAGAATTTCACAGAGAGAAACAGACAGGAATCCTCCATCTTTTGGTTCACCTTCCAAATGGCTGTATCAGCCAGGTCTGGACCAGGCCGAGGCCAGGCGACCAAATCTCTACATGGGCATCTCAGACAGGAGGTAAGGACCAAGGCACTTTGGTATTCATAGGTACATGCCCAGGTGCATTAGTAGGGTACCAAATTGGAGGCAGAGCAGCAAGGACTTTTACTGGAATTCATGGAGTACCAGTGTGACAGGCAGTGGCTTAGCCCACTGGGCCATGATGCTAGCTCCTGCTCAATTTTTTTTAAAGATTTATTTTTTATTATTTTTTTATTGGAAAGGCAGATATACAGAGGAGAGACAGAGAAGAAGATCTTCCGTCCGATGATTCACTCCCCAAGTGAGTGCAACGGCCGATGCTATGCCGGTCCGAAGCCAGGAGCCTCTTCCGGGTCTCCCACGCGGGTGCAGGGTCCCAAAGCTTTGGGCCGTCCTCATCTGCTTTCCCGGGCCACAAGCAGGGAGCTGGAAGGGTAGTGGAGCTGCCGGGATAGAACCGGCGCCCATATGGTATCCTGGGCATGCAAGGCGAGGACCTTAGCCACTGCGCCACCGTGCCGGGCCCCTGCTCAATTTTTTAAATAAAGAGTGATGTCTCAATGAACTGGGCACACTGGGCTGAGTTCTTCCAATCCTGGGGAATTTTAAGATAAATTGATGACTGAACCTTCTTTTAATGCTAAAACGTTTTTGTTCTGAAAATGTATATGAAGACAATGTAAAGTTTTATTGCCTCCTTTGCTTTGTTCAGCTGAATTGAACTGTGGTTGCTGTTTGAATACAGGGCATCCAGGACAAATACTGCTGGCTCCATCCCTGGCGAGGGCGGGCTTGCTTCTGGATGCCATGGTTCTGCAAAGAGGACTCATCTGTCCAGCACCAGCTGATGCCTGATGTGTTCCTTCTCTTTCTTCCCTGCTGCTGTACAGACCTCCCTCCATGCTGGTGTCCCGCATGGCTCGTTTTACCTAATCCTGTGTACCAGACTGTGGACAGTCAAGGTTTTCAAAGCACAGCAATTAAATAAGAGCCAAGTTATGAGTTAAGACCCCAGGGCTTCTTCCATGGAAGGGGCAAGTTTTTGTGGAAGGGGCACAGAGATAGACTTCCGGAGGTGTTGACATGGACTGGGGCTCTGATCCAACATAAGATCCTGTCTAACAGTGGAGGTCTGAACTTGGCTGTCCTATAGTGCACTCACCATTAAACACCCGTGTTACACAGGGATTCATTTATAGTAGGCACCCAAGGCAGCCATGAGTGGTTGTTGGGAGCTGGCTTCAGGCCAGGCCCAGGCCTTGAACCCTGCTGCTTCTAACAACCACACATGGCTGCCTTGGGTGCCTCAGTCACCTAAAGTAGATGAAGAAAAGGACAGAAGCTACCCACTGGGCTGTCACGGGTATGTTAATGTTTATACAGTGCTTAGCAGAGTTCTAGTACAAGACATGTGCCAAGTCAGTGTAGGCACAACAGAATAAATCATACTTAAGTCCCTACCCTCATTCAAAGGCGAAATAGTTGGATCTGCTTTTGCCGGTTGTTCATCCAAGAGTGAAGCCATTAAGTAAATGTCTCTTCTTTATTTGTTTACAGAAAACAGAACACCTGAATGCTCCTGGGTGCCAAGCACCAGCAGAGGTGCTAGTGATATTGACTCCAACTGTGCAACTTTAGCTCTCAAGAACTACTTCAGGGAGTGTCTGCAAAGTTCCAGCATCGCATGACCTGTTACAGCTGTGCAGTTTCTTTTCTTTGAAAACCTTCCACTTCATTCTTATACAAGCAAAAATTTCTGAAGACCATCAGAAGCTTGATTAAAGTTACTCCATTCATTCTGAATGAACAGATTTTGGGCCCAGCATGGTAGCCTAGTGGCTAAAGTCCTCGCCTTGCACATGCCAGGATCCCATATGGGTGCCAGATTGTGTCGCAGCAGCCTCGCTTTCCATCTAGCTCCCTGCTTGTGGTCTGGAAAAGAGCAGAGGATGGCCAAAGCCTTGGGACCCTGCACCTGCATAGGAGACCAGGAAGAAGCTCCTGGCTCTTGGCTCCGGATTGGCTCAGCTCCAGCCACTGAGGTCACTTGGGGAGTGAATCAGCAGATGGAAGATTTTCCTCTCTGTCCTCCTCTCTATGTATCTCACTTTCCAATAAAAATAAATAAATCTTAAAAAAAAAGAATCAATATTGCGACTCCTAAGAGTCCTTAGAGGAATTGCAGATATTCACAAATAAATAATTAATTTTTAAAAATTTTAGCTAATAGGTCACATTAGTGTGGTGTGTATGAGGCCTTAAAAAGTTCACATTCAGAATTTTTTTTAAATTACAAGAAATAAGTGCTGTCATAGGAAATCTACAAATTCAGATTAACAGTTAAGCTTTTAGAAATTTCCTAGCTTATTTTACCACACATTGTGTATACCTGCCGGTATCTAATCACTTGTTACACATGCATTTGTATACACAGAGTTCAGATACACCCCTCCTGTTAGAACTTCCTTTCCTTGTACCCAGAGGTGTGTTGTGCTCACCCATCTCATCCAGCGGGGTGCTTCTGCTTTGAGCCTGTACAACATTTGAGGAAAAGGGAATCCCATCAGCCCCGTGATTCAGGCCTCTGGTCCAAGAAAGGATCATATCGGATGGGTTCTGCTGGGTCTGTCTTAAACCCAATGGGAAGACTCCTCCTGGATTTTTCTTACAACAGTGATGAGGTGGCCACACTTGGAGCCATAGCCTCAACTAGAATCTCCCACTGGTATGATTTTGTACAAGGTCTCCTTAAAGGTCCTGGTATATGGTGCATCTTTAGTGAAAATGTGTTGAATTTTAAAAAGTTTCTCTAGAATCTCACCACCCAGAGATAACTGTTGCTTCTAACATGTATTATTTTGGTATATTCAGCAACAAAGGAAAAAACAATGTTAAACACACATTGTATTTTCTAATTTTCCAGATTGGTCACCTGCAGTGATTACGGCCAAGGACCACAGGGGTCTTCTGATATTCTTAAAAAAAAAGTAAAAGAAGAAACAAACAAACAAAACTCTGACCAATCAGGCAAAAGACGTAAAAAATGTTGGTGCTTAACCATTTCTTAAAATTGTTAAAAATTTATTTATTTTCATTTTGTTTGAAAAGCAGAGAGACACACTGAGAAAAGCAGAGAAACAGAGAAGAAGAGAAGCAGAGATAGAGAACTTCCACCCACAGGTTCACTCACAAAACACCTGCAACAACAGTCTTGGGTCAAGTGGAAGCCAAGAGCCTGGAACTCCACTTAGTCTCCCAATGGGTAGTAGGAACCAACTACTTCAGCCATCATTTGCTACCTCCCAGGGCAAGCACCAGTGGGAATGTAGATTAGACACAGAGAAGCCAGAAGTTGAACCAGGCACTTTCCTGTGGGATGTGGTAACTTAACCGCTGTACCAAAGCCTACCCCTAGTGTTTTAAAAGATATAAAAAGTGGGGCCTATATTGTGGAAAACCGAGCTAAGTCACTGTCTGCCATCCTCACATCCCATATGGATGCTAGTTCATGTCCTGATCACTCTACTACAGATCTAGCTCCCTAAAGACCTAGGAAAAGCAGCAGCAGAAGATGGTCCAAGGCCTTGGGTCACTGCCACTCACATGGGAGACCCAGATGAAGCTTCTGGATCCTAACTGTGGTCTAGAACAGCTCTAGCTGCTGCAGTCATTTGGGGGAGTAAATCAGTGGCTAGAAAATATCTAATTCTGTGTTTCAAATAAATGTTTAAAAAATGCTTTAAAAATGTAAGAAGTACTGGTGGGCTTATTGGGTTTTGAAAAAATGATTAGGGATGGACCTTTGCCATTGAGGTTGAAGGCACTGCTTGGGATATCCGCATTTCACATCCGAGTACCTGCTGAGTTTGAGTCCCAGCTACCTTCCAATTCCAGGTTCCTGTTAATGCATGCCACGGGAGGCAGCAGTTGATGGTTTATGTAGTTAAGACTCTGCCACCCACATGAGAGATCCAGCTTAAGTTCTGGGCTCCTGGCTCTGGTCTGGCTCAGTCCTGGCTGTCTGAGGTATTGGGGGCGGGGAATGAAACAGCAGATGAATGGTCTCTGTCTGTCTCTTTCATATAAATAAATAAGTAGAAATGATATAAAAGCTCAATCTGGTAACTTATTTTACAGTTTACTCTATATCTTCCTCATGATTAATTTTAAAAAGAAATCTAAACACTGCCAAAATTTTGGTCTGGTGTTTAAAAGGGGGTGGTGGTAAACTTAAATGATTCATTGTTTAAACATACCTGAAGTAGAAAGAGTGAGACTCGGGGGGGGGTGGGGGGGTCCCTTGGCTCATGACTACCGAGAAGAGGTGGAAGCAGCCACAGCTTTCCCATGCTGGTCCGATCTGTCTCAAGTGTGCGGGAGTCACCCCACTCCACCACTGTCACCAGTAATGTCAACACTGGGGCTCTCAGGAGGGAGACAGGGTCAGATGGGTTCTACCAAGGCCCAATCCTAATCTATCCAATTCAGTACCCTGCTGTGCCCCTCACAAGCAAAGACATTCAGAGGCAATACTGCCAGAAAGCATTTATGAAATTGTGTAAGACACAGCTTTCCTTAGAGTTTGCTATGTCATCACCGGTATGGAAAGCTGTCGTATTCTGTAACATGAACTTTAAAAGTTAATGATAAACAGATTGTCTTTAATCTGCCATACCAGCTATTGCCACAGCCCAGGTATCTTTAGAGCCAATCATTTACCTGAAAGGGGATCTCCAGTGCTGTCTGGAAAGCCATTTTCTTCTCCCTAAAATCCAAAAATCAGCTTTCATTAAAATTATATTCACATATTATTATATTCTTAGCACTGTATCTGCAAACTCTATTTAATCTGTTAAAAAGTAGTTTTAAACGCAATGAAAACATTAAAAACATATCCACATATGAGCAGAGATACATTATCAATTGTCCAATCTGATTAAATTTCCATCAAAATCCCAGGGTTGGATCTTAAGCATGATTTTAAAAATATGCAATTGGCAGTGAAAATCTGGGCAAATAGAGACACTAAGGTGGACTATGTCAGCCAGTGGATTCTGGAGCAATTTCATCCTGCTTGGAATAGCGAGATTGGCAGCAATTCAGAACTGATGAACTATCAAAACCTCTTGGGCAGTGCCCTCGGAGCATGCTGCATGTTGGGGACCCTGGGATGGGTGGGAGGCTGGGTGGGACTTCTCCCTTTATCTCCCTCCTTCCCCTGGATACAGGAAGGAAAAAAAGAGAATGTGGAAACAATAGTCTCACCCAACTTTTCTTAACCCTTGACCCTTTGTGCCTTAATCAACTACGTAAAGATCATCAAAATAAAATAATAATAATAAAGAAGAAAAATATGCACTTATTTGAAAGTCAGAGCTACAGAGAGAGAGAGAGAGGCAGAAGCAGAGAAAGAGATTTGTCATCTGTTGGTTCGCTCCTCAGATGGCTGCAACAGCCAGGACTGGGCCAGGCTGAAGCCAGCAGCCAGGAGCTTCTCCCCAGTTTCCGAAGTGGATGGCAGGAGCCCTAACACTAGGGCCATCACCTACTGCTTTTACCAGGCTACTATTAAGGAGCTGCACTGGAGGTAGAGCAACTGGAACAGGAATTGGAGTCCACATCATGCTATGCCAGCGTGGCAGATAGTGGCTTTACACTCTAAGCCACGATGTTGGCTCCAAGAATGACATTTTAATGAGGCCATGAGTCCTTTGTATGTAAGCTCCATGAAGGCAGGAATTTTATGGGACAGTGTGTGTGACAGAGCAGACACTTAGTAAATTTCTTCTACATGTATTAGCGCCCTTGTTTTTTAAAAAGCATCAGTGCATGCAAAATGGTGCTATTGTTTTATTTTACATTATGGGTCGTTTTATTTCCTGTCTGCTTTTGTTGGGCTTACTGTTTTATAATTCTTTCCCTTACCTATTAAATTCATTTACTGAAATAGTAAATATTGCGAATCAACTCAAACTGTGACTAAGTAGTGACTAACCCTTCTGAGAGTCCATCTCGCCTCTGGGATTCAGTTTTCACAACCAAGGCCATGTTACTTCATACACAGGAGGGCTCCACTCTCTGTGCATGTGTGTGTGTTTTCCATGAGGCTGGCAGAGATATTAATTTCATCTTTATATAACTAAGGTCTCTGGGGTCAGTTAGTGTCACCCCTCTGTTCACAGTACTGCCAAGGAGGCACTAGGTTGAGACAGATATACCATTACTGACGCTGCTCTCAGATTTCCCATCTGTGGCTTTGGGGGGGCTCCTTCGCTGACTCAGCTCAGGTGCCTCTGCACCCACAGGTCTCCAAGAGTTCCATCTTTAAAGCTGTGTTAGCTCCAGGGTGTCAGTGTGTTATACGCATTTAGCCAGTCTTTGTGTCTTCTAATAAACCTCTTTCCTCACTCCAAGCTTACTCTCTCCTCACTCCCCACTCCTTAGCAGCATGGTGACATCTATTGTCCAACCACAAGTCTATTTTTGTTTTCCACACAAGACCATTTTATCTCTTATCAGCTGGCTTTTCCGCTCCCATAATTTATAGAATTCTTGCTTTGGTTTGAGTTTCCCTCCTTACCTCTGTGTTTACTAAGACAGAGAGCCGATCTGCTTACCATAAATCATGTTTTCCCTCTACTAACTTGAAACTTTTTCCTTCTCATCATCCTCTTATTCAGTTCTAGATGTGTATGTATTTGTTTGGATGAGTATTTGTAACAGATATAGGAGGTCTCTGAAGGAACAGTCAATAGTCCACGCAGCTTTGCAAAGCTAAGCTCAGAGCCATGGTGTTGGGCCACTACTCGCTCTGAGCGGTCGTGTGAGGACCTGCCTTGCAACACGTGCGGCACTCCGGCAGGACGGGGCAGGTGTGTACGCTTTTATCCACACATCTACTGCTCTGTGCACTGAACTGCAAACTTGGGCTGAGGAAACAGAAAAGAGGAACTTTGGGTAGTGACGAGAGACACACATGTTTAGACCTTGACAGGTTCTGTGGTATTTGAGGCCCCTGCTCAAACATGAACTTTTCTATAAATAAAAATGAGGCTACATGGCATATTTGACTTGATTCCCTATGAGCTGGAAAAAAATGTCATCTAAGTCAATGTCTGGCCAACATCATCTCCCATGGTGTAGACAGGCAATATGTCAGAATTATTTGTGAAGGTTGATGAAGCCAGCACTTAGATTACTATCTATGTTCTTCTGTTCTTGGCTCTGATTATACATTATACTACTTTCTTTTTTTCTTTTTTCTTTTTTTACGAGTATAATCGTTAAGTGCAAAAATAAAGACTTCTTTTTGTAATTTTTATGGCCTAACTGTAACCACATTTCTATCTTTATCGAACACCCTCTTATTAAACAGTAACTCTGCACAAGCCCCCATGTTGGAACTGAAACCTTGCCCTCCAGGCCTGCTCCCAGACACCCTAGAGGACTACAGACCACACAGACAGCTACAATGTGAGGCGCAGGATGGTGAGTCCCCACAGGAAGGTGCAGAGAGGGTCAGGGAGGAAAACTTTCTGAGGGTAAAAAAAGAAAAGCAAAGGCAGCTTCTTGCAGATGGAGAGATCTACAGGGCCCGCTGAGGACCTATGGAGGGGCGCTTAGGAGGAAGGGACATTTAGGCAGGGGTGCTAGGGAACTGGCAAGGACGTGCAAAAGAATTTGGCCACTACAAGGTATTTTATGTTAAGAAACATGTGGGGCAGGAGGGAGATGAAAGGGAGAAAACTGACCAAGACCTGTCCATGGAATTGGGCTGCATCTTATACACAGGGGGAATCATATAGGGGTTACATCTGGAAGTCGGGCATCCTCAGTGATGCCCAGGATCAGTTCAGGGAGCACCTGCCTTGTTTGTAGACAGCAAGGCACAAGGAGGTGGGGGACAGCTTGGCGGTCAGGTGGTGTGGGAACAGGAAACATAGCTGACTCACACAGGTAAGTATTAATAAGAACCCAAAGCACTCAACTGGAGAGGAGGGGACAAAGCAAGAACCACTGCAAAGACACAGGCAAAGGAGGTGAGATGAAGAGCAAGTTCTGAAGAGGTGATGGAGAAGGACTATGAGGTGAAGTTCACCCAACAGAGATGCCTATGAGAGCTGCAAACACAGTACTGGCCCTGGGGAGAGGCCAGGGCAAGACATAGACCTATACTCCCTTCCATAGGGACTACGGAAGAAGAGACTGGCAGAGAAGAGCAAACTGTAAGGTCACAACTAAACGCCTGCATTGTGGTGGCAGGGAAAGGAGTGAGAAAGGAAAGAGAATGCCAAAGAGAAGAGAAACAAAGCTGGAGGCCTGGGTAGGTCATGGGCTCTGAGGACTGAGTGACGCTAAGACTTGGTGAGGAGTACTTCTAGCAGAGCAGTGGAAGCAAACAACTTGTCCCCAGTGGGCCGTGAGGCCATAGGAGTGGCCGGATGTGGTTGTATCTTAGAACACTTCTCAGGGTTGCCCAGCCTTCAGTCTGCTTAACCTTCCCATCTGCAAGACCGGCTCACACATCACTTCCTCTAGGGAACCTTTTCCAAACCCTCAATGTGGGTTCTGTGCCCTGCAGTGTGCCACAGCATCCTGTACAGGTCACCTCATGAGACACTTGTTTTGCTGGGTTTGGAGTCTCCCACACCACACTACAGACCTTGAGGCCCAGTGCCTTGTCCATACAATGCGGTGGGGCATGTGTCTGAGTCCAGGCTGACACCAAGACTGTGGCAGGGAGGATTGTGCAAGGGAGGAGGAAAGAGATAAGTATAAAAGGGACCTGAGTTTTCTCCAACCATGCATGGGCTGCTATTCTACATGTCTCTTTACTCTTGTTACATCCCATCATAATGCTTTTCAGCCTTGTCTCGTGGTCACCAGTTCTTGGCCTCATCCTCACGAGTCCCCTCAGGTCATTAACAAGTACTGAGTACCTGTCAATGCTTAGCTCTGCACGAATTTCACTCTACCCGACTTCCTCTAAGCTGCTGCATGTGGCTGGGGAAAAGCAGCTACCAACCAGATCACTTATCCAACCTGATTACAGCTGTGGGTGCACGTCATGTGTCAGGCAGGTGACCCCAAACTGGGTTAGATCATGACTTCCAAATACCTAAGACCCAAGAGCTAGCTATGTATAAGTAACGAACACGGGAGATTTTTGTTCAAACACCTTGCCTTCATTCTGAGTAAAGTTGGAAAATATGTAAAGCACTGGTTTTGCAGAAAAGAGAACAGTTTCTGAGTGAGGCTGACTGTGTATATGAAAGACAAAGCTGTGTGTAAAGAGTTAGTTTATTTAAAAAGTGACTGTAAAGGTATTAAAATTTCAATTTTGTGGTGGGTGTTGTGGTGCAGTGTATTAAGCCACCATTTGGGACTCCTGCATCCTGAATGCTAGTTTGAGTCCTATATATTCATTCTGTTTCTGAACAGCTTCCTGCTAATGCCCCTGGAAATGCAGTAGATGACGGTTCGTGTGTCATGTGGGCCTCTACCATGCATGTGGGAGACCCACAGGAGTTTCAGGTCCCTGGTTTCAGTCTGGTCCAGCCTCAGCTGGTGTGGCCATTTGGGGAATGAATGAGTAAATCAAAGAGAGATCTCTTTCTTTCTCTGTCACTCTGCGTTACAAATAATTAGGTAACAATTTTTTTTCAATTTACATAAAATCTTACAGAATGGAAGTACAGGAAATCCGGAGCAACTTTCAAGATGTTTTCAAACCCTTCATTTTGGTAGGAGTTGGGTATCATGGCA